ACACATGTAAATGCAATTCCCCAAACACATCTGATATAAACAAAAATATTTGCCTCAATCCAACTAAAATTAGTTGCACTGGAGGCAACTTATATACATCCTATATACAACCACCAATAAGTTCCATTCAACTCACTGGGACTTACACAGATAGCACTGTCAAGCTTCCTATATATAATTTGCTATTGAAACAATTACTAGCATTTTATCCACTTAAGTTGCTATAGATGAAACTAATGAAAGAAAGAACTATATTTGTTATCTATCCTGGCAAAAAGATTTGCAATTCAAAATTTCTCATATATTACAATCCTAAAATTGTGTTGAATGTAAAGATTTGACCTTTCATTATGACATAAAAGACAATTCAGCTGGTTGCTTTAAAATATGGTGCAGTTGATCATTCCAAATACTAAAAATACACCTAGCATAGCAAGCATCCTTGTTAATAATGTTCCAAAGTATTGAAGTATAGCACTATCTCTATTGATCTTAATATAGTGCTATTTGTGAAAGTAATTTTAGTACAGCGGGTACAGACTATTCTTTAATCCATCAGGCCTATAACTGCCCAAATTCATGGTTAAATTAAGATAACTTTTATGTCCATGCATTTGAATTCCAATATATTTCTTGAAGAAACCAAAACCAGGAATAGCAGTTGAGATCTGCCAAGAGCAATTAATATAACATTTTAAAGTGTATTGGCCTTGCTTTTTTCAAGAAAATGAAGAACTAGTTTGAAATCTACATAAAATATTTAGCTCTTGTTAAGATGGGATCACTTGCAAATACTGATCTGCCCATAATAATTCTGTCAGCAGATCAGGTTTTATACTAATTAGTATTGCATTTGTTTGTAATGTTTCCTATGTTCAAATAGAGTCTTAACTTGCCCTATCCCTGTTCAGTGAAGAAAGGATGACTTTTTTTTTTAAGCAAGTTCTGGTTTAAATCTTTAAATTTCACCTTGCAAGAAAGGAATATTGATCCAAATTTCAAATATTAGTTAAAACACAAAACTTAAATCATTCTCACGGTGACTAGTTCCTTCAAATAGGTTTTTGCATATATGGATTCACCTTCTGAATCAGATCCTTACTAAAGGTGGTTCTGCAGGTAGAGAACCTTGGCCAAGTTCTATAAGGCAAGCTCCGTAAGGGAGCTTGGAGGAATAATCCTATGGACCCAAGACACTGCCTGCAGACCAACAGAACGGCTTGGATTCACAACTGTGAGGTTGAAGGTAGTGCTCCAACTTTGAAACTACAAGCAGACCTTTGATACCTTCTCTATCTTTTGTAGATAGCAAAGGAAGAACCACTGCTATCTGAGGTCAGGAAAATAACCTTGGACAAGAGTTAAGGTGGGAGCAGGCGGGGAAAAGTCTGGATTGTTCAGGATATGAGGTATCCTGAAGCTGCTCCAGCCTCTAAGTCTTCTCTCTCCCTCCGAAGCACTATCACTGTAACAGTAAGCCGTAACAGTCATCTAGTAACAAATGCAGAAGAGGAGAAGCAGAAAGACAAAGAACCCCTACTCCTGTTGTATATTGGTTGTCTGGAATTCTCTGAATTCAGGGGCTTATGTCCAACCCCATAGGAATGCACCTTAGACTTCTTCTTCTCCTCAAACAATGTCATCTAATTTCATTTGGAAAAATTCAAAAGTAATTTGAGAGACTTCACAGTGGTCAGTAGTACAAAAGAAAAAAAGTAGAAAAGTTCAAAATGCCTGTGTGATTTGGACCCTGGCCCTATTACTCAACAACATATATACCATGTCCAGTGCATGACTGTCTCTGTCAGATGGTCTCCCAATACACCCTATCAGATAGAGGAATAAATAGACCCAGTGATATTTTTTCTGCCTATGGGCAGTCAGCACTGTCAGAGTCATGAGTGTTGACAATCTGTCCTGCAAAAGGAATGGGAAGAGGGGCAGATCCTCATGTACAACAGACCAGGCTAAACTGCACATTGCCTATGAAGTGAGCTTTAAAAAAAAAGTGTGGTTAAACTTTCCAATTATATTCTGAAGGAGAGGCACCCTCTAGGACCCTAATTCAGGTCACACAATGGATCTGCATCAGGGACCCTTACCTATTTCCTGCCCCAAATCTCTGCAGGCTGGGATCTGTCCGCAAAGATGACCCTTCAGGGTCAAACAGCAGCTGTGGGAGGAGCTTTAGTGGGAAAACAATACAGGCTCCTGATCAAGAAGCACAATCTGGATCTGGACCCACATGATTGCTTTTCTTCAAAGTACAAGTGGGCAGTTTTAGGGCACAATTTTATTGGGATTCCTGTAAGTCCCCACAACTTACAGGCATTACAGGCATCCAAGAACATGAATACAAGAACACAAGAAAAGCCATGCTGGGTCAGACCAAAGGGACCATCTAGTTCAGCATCCCATACACACAGTGGCAACCAGTTGCTTACGGGATTGTCCAAGCAACATGTGTGCAGGCATGCCACTTCTGGTGAAGGAGGTAGCACATCGGCAGTGCGGAGTAAGAGAAATGGCAGAGGCATTATTCATCTCCCAGTTCTGCTCTGCATTTTTGGCCTGGGATTTTTCACCCAGAATCTGTTCTGGGATTTTTCACTCTAGCAGAACTATCTTGGGCTAGGAAGAATGACTGGAAGGGCTTCAGGATATTTCACATCCTGACCTCCCCAGTTCCCTCCCTTCATCTCCCAAGGTTGCTTTTCCACTGTGAATCCTACTTAGCTCTCACAACTAAGGGTAAGTTCCATTCATTTCAATGGGCCTACTTTAAGCGGGAATTAATAGATTTCACCCAAAGTTAAATATTTATGAAATTTGCAAACAGTCTAGACAGATTCCTGTTTTTGCAGCAAGATGATTTTACTGGTAGAGCTAAGCAAATCCTTACGCCTCTCCTATTAAAATCAATGGAATTTAAGAGATTGCCTGGATTGTGTATGGTGTTTTAAAATGTAAAATCAAAAACAGAATGGTTAAACAGCCATTAAATATAATTCAATGGCATAACATTATAGTAAAGTATTCACATCTTCATTCCTATACACACTTACGTTGGAGTAAATTCTATTGAATGAAGTAAGATATACTGTTCAGGTGCAGAACATATAATAAAGCTGCAATTGATTTACTTGGGAGTCAGTTACAGTAAGCAAAATTTAGTTAAATATGCATAAAGTACAACTATTTAAACCTAGTCTTAAGCCTACCATGTTATTGCCTCCATGTCCACTGGGTCTTACCCCCCGAGTAAGTGTACAATATACCTATTGCTTCAGGAATATTTCCTGTTGTGCTGTAAACTACTCAGAGAGTCCTGTCCAAGGAAAACAATTATATTGTCTTTCAAAGTGCAATTGAAATATGATTTATGTTATGAGAAACCAAGTTTGATCAAAAATGGAGAGATGTAACACTTTTGTTTGTAGTGATGAATTTTCTCCAAACATTATAAAGTACTCTTGAATTTCTGGCATTTAAGTATGGATTAATTTTGCATGAGAATATTATTGATATTGCTTTGATAAAGATGATTTACACTTCTAACAGCCACAGTTATATCAATAACTGTTGCCAAGTAAATGAGATGACATGACTTATGAATTATTTAATAAATCTCAGCAGGAGTTAAATTAAATTCAATTAATAAATCCCAGCAGGAATGAAATTCAAAAATTACATCACCAAATTTACTCTATATTTTTCCACAGAGTAAAAAAGCTATTCTTCTAGAGAAGCTTGGCTATATGTAAAAAGAAGTGTATGCCTCTACTTTATATGCAAGAAGTGACTTGGAATTTTTTTAAAAAGGGGTGTGTGTTTGGGGGGTGTCATTCTTCATGAAAGGAAGGAAAACTAATGGTGCAGTCTTGCAAAAACTTTAGGTCAGGCTGCAATGTTCAAAGAAGCGATGTGAGGCCTTCATCTTCTTTTCGAAATAAATTCTACTAAAATGAGACTTCCTTCCAAGTTTAGATAGGATAGACTAATTATCTACAATAGGACTAGACCTGTGTAATCTGATTCTGAGCTCATCTGAAGGCTGTAAACTTAAATATACTGGACATGAAGCAAGTCCTGTTGATCTCAGTGAAATGGACTTTTAAGTACATATGTTCAAATTGGGCACAATGTTTACTTTATTTGAACAGCCTTTACAGACTGAGATTCTCAAACAATATGAAATTAGCTCTTCAGTACTGGCAGTATGTCATCACATCAGTGGCAATTCTGGCACAAGTATGAACGATTTCCTCATTTCTAGTTATTTCCATTATTGCAACACGACTGATGAGCCTTCATCAGCCTCACTGGCAACACTGGCAAAATCACACCCCACACATACCCTTTTGCTGGCCTAAAGCGATTCTGCTCATGTATCTGCATCTGTTTCCAGGGAGAGGCGCATTATTTAGAAAGGCTGAAGGCATTTGGGGGTCATTTACAGTACAATCCTATACAAATCCCACCGTATTGAACAGGGATTCTTCCTAAGGAAGTGGGAATGGGAATACAGTCTTATATTCCTTCAGGGGATACATGGAATAATTTTTTCATTGCAAGAGCATTACTTATTCTCACATCTTCATCTTCTTGCTTAACAACCCCACTGCAGGACCTTAGAAGAGGCTTATAAAACACACCTGTGTGTGAGAGCGAGCGAGCACACATGAGTATGTAAAAATAGCGACCTAAATATGTATGGAAGCATATATATGGAAGCCCTAGTTACGACCAGAACGCTTCACAAAGGACCCCGTTGAAATGCGGGAGCTGCCTTTCTTGAATGAGCTTGTGCCAGCGACAGCGGAGAGGGAAATACGCACGCACATACTTACACTACACCATCCTATACACGCCTACTCCGAAGTAAGCCTCACTGCGTTCAATGGGACTTACTCCCAAGAAAGGGTGCTTAGGATCGGCAGCCTCAGGGAAAGCTCGAGGTTCCCACACACCACGCTTGACGGGGTCTCGCCACCACTCACCCAGGACCACGGCGAGGATGGTGCTGAGCAGAAGCCAGTTGTTCTTCAGGAAGCGCTTGCAGTCGCATCCCCCCTTTTTGTGGCTGGACTCCTTCCCCATGGTTGCCTGGCCTCGGCGGCGGAGACGGCGATCGCCGGCTGCGGGAGAGAAGCGCGGGGGGCCGGCGGGATGCGCGCGCGCGCCCGGGAGGCAGCGGCCGAGCGGGGAAGCAGGTGCAGCAGCAGCAAGAGCAGCGCCGCGCCGGGCCGAGCTCTGGCGTCAACGGCAGAAAGCTCCCGCTCGCGTTCTGACGGCTGGCTGCGGTTTGCGTTGGAGCCCGTCCGGGGGGGGGGGGGGGGGGGGCGTGCCGCCGCGCGCGGTGGTTACGCCCTGTTCGTTCTTAGCTCTGCAGGACGCGTCTCTGTCGCTGCTGCTGCTCCCAATATTAGTCTGGTGGCGTCTGCCCAACCCTGCGGCTCCTCGAGAGAGAAAGAGAGAGCGCGCAGCTGAGGTGTGTGTGTGTGTGTGTGTGGCTGTGAACGAGCGCGCGCGCGCGCTGTCACGGAGGGCAGCACCTGGCGCGGGCAGCCTGGCTGGCGCGCGGTTCTCCGCCCCCCTCGCAACACCACGACCTGCCCCGCATGGGTGACTAAGAAGAACGAGGGACTTCGGGGCGCTTCCGCGTGCCTTCTGCCTTACGAGAAAAGAGGAAAACACCCCAGCGGTTGGCGTAAGGCAGCGGAGGTCTGCGCACCCGCTGGAGAGGCACTGACTCTCCTTGGGCTAACACAACAACAGTAGTGCGATCCTGTGCATGTTGACGGGAAAAAAAGGCCTACAACTCCCAAGCATGCTTGGGCCAGCATAGCTCCGGCATGCTTGGAGCTGTAGGCCTTCTTTTCTTTCCTAGTATGCATAGGATTGTGCTCAAAGAGCCTTTTGGCATCTTAAATACTAATGCATTTGTTCTGCCATGAGCGTTACTCATAGGATAGATAAGTTTCAGTGAGTGAATTTTATTATTCAAAACAAAGATTTCTCAACCTGCTCTGGTGTGTTCAATTGCCAACCAGAATTGATTTGACTCTCTTGCTTAGCTTGGAAGTTGGCCTATTCAAGCACTGGAATGCTTGGCAAGTGTGCCAACTGGGTTGTTGCAGGATTTAAAAGATGCTTTTTTTAAAAAAGGCCCTATCCATCTCCATATATTTGAAAGCCTGTTTTCCCCTGTGGGCACAATAAAGAATATTAACACATCAGGAGTAGCAGTGAAGGTGCTGCCTCTACAGGGAAAAGATGCTTTTCAGCCTGTTACATCTTACAGGCTGGAGGTGCAGACATTCTAACAGTTCAGCACATGTTACAGTGCATCCCAGACATCCATTTCTTGTCATATGAAGAGTCTGCTGGAGGTGTTGGGCTGTAGAGGGAAAATAAGGCTGAGGGAACTGGAGCAGTGATGGCCAGAATAGTTAAGGTGCTTCAATACTCTTTGATTGCATTTGCTGCAATAGATTAACCCATTGTTTTGAGAGGCAAAGGACCTTATGGGGTGAGAGAAAGTACTGCATTTTGCACTGTGTCCCCAACTTCTCAGTTCTAGAGCAGTGTGAGGCTGATGCAATCAGGATTAAAAGTGATAATCTAGCTATGCTGCCTAGATGAAATATTAACCTTATATGTGTGTGCATGTTCTCTAGTGAAGAAGTGATTCTCCTCCCTCTTCTGCTCAAATTCTGTGAGAGAGAAAACGTTGGAGAAAATGGGGCAATTTTGGTGAATCTTGAAGAGAACAGAGTAAGAGGAGTCAAGAAAGCGTTTTTTTGTTTTTCCTTCCACCACATTGTGCATTTTTCACTGTTCTCAGCTGATGGATAATTCACATGTTACATAAACCTACCATATTCGTATTTTCTATCATGTAAGAAACCATATAAAAACCCACAGGAGAATTGATACTATGGTTTCATGTTTTGTTCTGTGTAATACTGGATATGTAATTTACTAGGGCAGCATTACCATGAAACCAGCTGCTTTAAGAAATTGCTTTAAGTTGCAAATGTTAGAGAAGTGCTGTTTTTCTGCTTGATTTTCAGTGTCTTAAGGTACAATCCTGTGGATGTTTACACAGAAAGAAGCTGACAACTCCCAACATGCACCAGCAGAGCATGCTGGGAGTTGTATGGAAGTTAGGGCATGTTAGAACTTGTATGCCTTTTTCTATGTACTCATGCATAGGATTGTGCCCTTAATATCATTAAGAAAATAATAAGCAGAAGAGAGAACCCATTTGTAAAGTAATGTTTTCCTCTGAATGTGGTCCCTTGGCAGGTCTTCATAATTCTGCCAAGTGCTCCTTCAGGGAATCGCTTATATGCCACAGTGCCACTTACTGGTCTTGAAATGGCACATGTAGAAAGACAAAGAAAGCAATCCCCCCCACCCCATAAGTAAAGGACTTACTCCTGAAAAGATTCTGGAAGTAGAGGCCTCAGTAAAGGCCTTGGTAAACCTTCATGTAGAAAAGCTCTTGTACTGCTGAGTGATTTTTCCTCTGCTTTTCTCAGTATTTAGTTGCCTCCTCATTCTTCCTTTTCTTCTAGCCTAGCACAACAAGAATCCTTTCAAAGCTTCCTTGAAATGTCTGTGCTTAAAACTTGTGGACTCCATCCTGCTCTATTGTGTTTTGCAATATTCAGCTAGGGGCCTTAGATGTTGATATGCATTGTCACCTACATTAGGTAAGTCCATCATGTTAATGAAGGTCAGTATTGCATTGTGCATCTGGGCATCTCCTTGGCTTTTCTATAGATTAACATACCAAGACAAAAGTCAAGTATTTTTCCAAATATATCCAATGGTATTTTTGCACAAGCAGAGCAGACATCTCTGGTGGACAGAATTTCCCCTCCCCTCCACTTCTGAGTGATGGAGGATCCACTGGGCCAGATTTGGAGTGAGGTAGGATCTGCAGTGGGGAGGAAGGGAAGAAAAGCTCCCATTGTGCAAGGAAAAGTCTGCTTGTGTTGTGTTGTTTTTAGTCTCTTTGTATCACTTGCTGTTATTTCCAAAATGAATGTGTTCACCTTTTTAAAAATTTCATCCTGCCCTGCTCTGCCACCCAGGAGAGGTAAAAACAGAAAAATAAATAAAAATATAGAATACACCTTTGAAAGTGTGAAGAAAATATTCTGAATTACTATACAGCTTGATAAACATTATGTTTGTTTAATACGTTTCATTTCTAACTCATCCATTAGCTGCACTAAGCTCCCAAGAAAGGTCACTGTTAAAACTGTTTAAAAGTTCTAGAACATAAGTGAACACAGAACAGAGCTACACCTATTAAAATACAACTCACTCAAAGGTTTGTAAAACTAGGATGTTGTGGCCAGGTATTAGGAATCTAGCAGTGAGCATGGCTAATGAGTTTTCCTTGGAAGAAAATTCCAGTTCTTAAGTACCAGAGAACTAACTGCCCATTGTAATCACTAACCTGGCTGAAGCACTCAAAGCAGCCTTGCATAACCTGGTCTGAGGGTACATCCTTGTTTGTGTGCATAGTAAATACGAGATAAAATAGTTTAGGGCACAATCCTGTGGCCTTTTGATAGTGTCTGGGGGGGCATAGGATAGGTCAGAGTTCTAGCTCTGCCCTCAGAAATGCCTTCTGAGATCAGAGCTGGGACTCCAACCTTGGAATCCCCTTCCTCTGTGCTCACAGCCAGCACTGTTCTTTCACTGCTGGCTGGGCTCCAAAGATGAAAGACTATCTTCGGAACTGGCATGGGAGGAGGGTGAGGAGAGGGAAACAAGGCATCAGCATTTTCAGAGGAATTCTGGTGGTAGGGTTGGCCATCTGTATGTTTTGGATAACAAGGGGAACACAGATGCAATCCAAGTCTTGAGGCCCACTCCTGCCTTACTTTGGAGTCTGTAATTCTCTGAGTTTTGAGGGTTATAGGGAGCCATATTTGATGGCACCCTTAGCTGGTGTTTTCTAGTGGTCAGTGTATTATTCACATCTGGATTTAACTGTGAAGGTTGTTATCTAGTAGTCTATCAAGTTCTTCCTTGATAAAGTGGGATAGCCTTATGAACACCACCCCGTGCTTTTGGAGGAAGTGATATATAAAATGAATATGTGGGAAACAAGAAATGGGTAAAATAGAGATGAAGCTAAAATTTAAAAAATGATGGAAAAGAAGCTGAAACAGTTGTTAGGAATGAGAGTGGTTTAAATTTTGTGATGAATAGGCATGCATTTTAAATAATAGTATTGTAGAATGGCAGATATTGACTCCAGTTCTTGGCAGAATGGGTAACCAAATACAAATCTGCAATTAAAAATGTCCTAATAAAATGAAAACAAAAGAATTAAAGATATCACAGCCTGATGGATCCCTTTCCCATAAAACATCTTAAGCAGAATAATGCAAAATGTTGCTAAGAGATCCTATTCTGGAAGAGTGTGCAAGCACCTGAATTGCATCTCCAGTGAACATATTTGGTCAGCAAACAAAACACATACTAGAGTCCACTTCCAACATAAAGGAGCCCTTGGATTTGAAAAGGAATATACATGGGATATCTTTACATAAGAATTAGTCACTCATCCAAATTGTCAGGAAAAATCTTTGAACCAGAAGGAGTTTAGTATTAGTTTGAATCTTTGAACGGAAGGGAGATTAGGAGCCAGCCAGGTTATTAAAGTGATAAGCTTATCACTTGATAACCACCAGTCAGAGGTAGGGTCTTGACCTGTAAACAAAAGGTATTGCAGCCCCTGGTACTGCTGTGGGAGTTATAATCTGGCTCAGTGAGTTTCGCTGAGGGTTACCCATGGCAGAACATTCCTCATCCAGTTTGGTTTGGCCCAGGTATAAGCTGTTAAGTTAGGGTTAGGGTGTTGCCTGGCTGACAGCTGGATAGATAGTTTATAATCTCTTCCACTTTTTGCTTTTTTGGATAAATCTCTCAATTTTTCTTTCTCCATATTCAGTTCCAGGCTGTTTATGGAGAAATATGTGCATTTTTGTGAAATGGGGCAAGGTCTTACTAAAAATGAACTGAATGAAATACTCATCCTTAATACAGATATCTTGGAGTTCAGTGTAGCTTTATTTCCCTGACCTATCTATTGGCACTGTTAT